TACCACCAGCCTCCATAGCTACTTGCGCAATTCCCACTGGTCTGGTCCTGATCCTTGTCAGTTGTGCTGAACTTCATGTTGTCGTGTATGCCCCCCAGGCCGGAGTGGTAGGTGGTGAGATAGTCCTCGCCGTCCCCAGAGTACCTGCCCAGCCTCAGCGGGTACCCGCTGGGCTCATCCTCGACACTGAAGATGTCGTACTCTGCGTAGCGGGTGTTGTTGGATTTGTCCTCCACGACAAAGCGGACCTTGTAGGTGTTCTGCCGCGTGAGCAGGGACAGGTACTCGTTGCCCAGCCAGTAATCCTGCTGCACGTTCCCAAAGCCGTACTTGTAGGTGCTCCAGGACTCCCTCCAGGTGATCTCTGTGTTGTAAGAATTTCTCTGGACAACGGTCCAGCCTTTGCCTTCGGTGTCCATGTCACACCACACCACTCGAGGGGGAGAGCCAGCCGGCTGGATGACATGGATCCCACTGGGGCTGTCCCTGGGAATGTAGCTGCAGTCTCTGGGGAACCCTGAAATACCACATACAACAAGGTCAGTAACAGAGAGAGCCGGACACAGCGGTCAGCTCACCGGGGTCTGCCGGAGCAGAGCCAGATGTCAGGCTGTCATGAGATATCCATATATGCCAGTACCAATCTGGAACACAAGCACCCTCTGCATCGAGGTGGGACCAGAGATAGGGCTACCTTAAGGGATAGACATCATAGGCCCATTACACCAGAATCAAAGTTACATTTCCATTTCTCGGGGTTGGGAAGAAAACCTTGAAAACGTGACCTCAATATAACTGCTGCGGTGTCCCCACCTGCGTCCGCAGTGCCTGGAATGACAGCTCTGATGGGGTAGTACCCCATTCATCTCCGTGGGGTGGGAATGCCCAGACTCATTGCTCTGGGGCCCCCGACACCACCCCAGTAGAGGGCTTTGTGCGTGGCACCAGGCAGGAGAGCATAGCAAGTCCCCTGGCCCAAACAGAAACACCCAGTCTGTGTGTGGGGCCTGCAGTGCGCTGACTTGTAGTGGAATGATTTACTCCTGTGAGGATGCATTTGCAAAAGCAAACAACAGGCTGGTCTAGACTAAAATGCACCTGACCCTGCACAGACTTCGCCAGGAGGAACATTTAGGGACTCGCACTCTTGGCCATATCCCTATAAACTCAAGTTACATTAGTTATCAGCTGTGGCTATTTCAGAGTCTGAGGAAGACCTCAGCAAGCAATTGCAGTAATTTATTTGAGGATTTTGCCTCTTTTCTTGGGAGCTGTGTGTGAGCAGCTTTCCATGTTCTCAATTGGTCATTTAAAATTATTGGGGAATAATTTTGTCTTTAGTGTGTTTGAGAGCAGTTTGTCTGCTGTTCCAAAGCTGAGGAATTAGGGAGGGCCATCTGTAGGGGGGTGAAGGGTGAAGGATGAAGGCTATCTGTAGGGCCCAGGAAATGGGCACCGAATTTCTAATCTGCCAGGGGATGCTCCCCCTGGTTCCACCCAGGCCCCACCCCACTCCACCCCTTTCCCCAAGGCCCCACCCCCACCCTGCTTCTTCCCACCCGCGATCCGCCCCCGCCCCACCTCTTCCCCACCCAGTTCCGCCCCTACCTCTTGCTCCTCTCCCCTCCCCCACAGCGCCTCCTGACGCTGCAAAACATCTGGCGCTGAGAGGTAGGGGGAGGTGCTGGGGGGAGGGGGAGGTTCTGGCAAGCTCCTCCTTGCCCTCCCCCCGTCCGCCTGCCACTAGCCACTCGCCTCCCCATTCGCCTCCTCACCCCGTCTGCTTCCTCACAATTTTATGGAAGCACGGGGGCCCCCCAGAGCACGGGGCCCAGGGTGGTTGCCCCAATTCGCTGTACCCAAGGGATGGCTCTGATTTTAGGTGAACACCCAGGTAAAATTTCTGTTTCATAACTCTGGTTACAAATTCAGAATTCACTTTTCTTTAGTATTACCCTAAAATGTGCTGCTTGAGCGAGCAACCCTGCCATAGAGCTGCTCACGCATTGCAGTTGGAATGTGAACAAATGGGGCACCAGCTTGGACATGGCAAATCCCACAGAAAATGCAATAGACCACGCACAGCTATTCTTTCGCAACATTCACCCAAGTTTACCCTGAAGCCTCCAAAGAGACTGGACAGATTCCAGACTCACTGAGCGTGCAGGGGCCACGTGTGACATGGGTGATATACTGGTGATCACAGCAGAAAGGCAGCGGGGGACAGAGCTTTGCCTTTCACAAGAGCCTGTTTTTGCAGAGCCCATTATTCTATAGCATGCAGCAGCCTGGTTCAGCTGTAAACACAGCTCCCGCCATACTCCAGCGCTCCTGCCGGGCCTTAGAAGCAGTGAGTGGACTAGCAGCCGAGCAGTGCCTATGTGAGCAAACCACGCAGCAGCCCTTGTGCACTCAGCCTGGCAGGCACGACAGGCCCCCAGGAATGCTTGTGTCCTGCAGCTACTGCTCTGGGCCGACGACCCGGTGCAGCCCACACCCCCACTCCCCACTGGCCCAGGCGGCCGCAGGGTCCATACTCACCACTCTGGGAAGTGACACTCGTGCCACCCCCATGCTCAGCGCTCTGGACAGGGGTTGTGCAGAAACAAGTCATTGAGGCCACAGCCAGGAGGGCAAGGCATCCCTGGAGACGGCTCATCCTGGCCTGGAACCCTGGAGGAACAGGAACAGCTGCTGTGAGACTGACCTAGCAGAGTGAGGGCTGGGCGCCGCGCCCCTCCAGCATCACCCCAGGAAGGCTCATTTTCCTTCGGACAGTGGCTCCCTGGCAGCTGGCGGCTCCCAAGAAGAATCTGACCCAGTGAAGCCAGGCTGGGGCAGTCTGTCTCCTGCTGATGCAAATAGAATCTGGGATCCGAGCAGATGGAGATTTGTTGAAGTGGCAGCTTTGGCCAAGGTTGATATTGCACCATTTGCAGCTGTGAACTTGGGTAAGAAACATCTTCACTCGACCCCAGAGCAAATTTCCACAATTTGCCCCAGATTCAATGTTGCAAGGAGGTTTTAGGGGCAGAATGGAAGATATTCTGAGCTGGGGAAAAAAAGCCTATTTGTTGGGGAAATCTAACAACTGAGGCGAAGCCATTCATGTTTAAAAACTGCATCTAAACTGGGCCAGAAAGCACGCAGTTGCACTTACAGAGCGTGCAACACCTCACTCAATTTGTACATTTGTATGTAACTATAAATGCAACAGCTGGCCTTAAGCCAAAAGTGCACCTGGGAACAACAGACTGTAAGGACCAAGCCTGTGCTACCCTGCAGGAGACAGGCCCTCTCAGAGGTCCAGAGAGGCCCAGGCCACTTCCAGCTTTTGAGGCCTCTAGCCATAATAAACATAAAAAATGACGACACATGGTCTAATCTTGTGCCATCAGAACCGATATATTTGTATTAATATTTATGAACATTTTTAACTCTTTAATATGACAAAATCTATATCAGTTAACAAAAAAATTATGTCTTTTACCAGATCACATCCCTTATTTGCTTACATTTGCAGCTGTAAGGTGAGAAGCTGTGTCACATTTTGGTCCGATTGGGATGCGCATAAAAACAAGTTGCGAAACTTATCAAAAAAATTAACAAGTGTCTAAATGCGAGGCCCCCTTGAGCTTGAGGCCCAGGCCAAATGGCCCTCCTGTGTCCCCCCCCCCGGATTGGCCCTGGCAGGAGATGAGCCAGATGGGATTTTCTAGGTGTTGTCCCTCTCTAATTTCCATGAACCTGGAAGATGTAAGTGCACCAGGATCTCACATTGGGCTATCTGGGGCAGGTTCCATTGTCTTCTACCAATGCTAGCAGGATTCAGCGCATTCACAATCGCTGCAGTGTGAGCCCGTGTTTGACAAGTCATTTCCTCCAAGCTAAAAGCCACATCCAGAGCCCCTGTGCCAGAAGCACCACCTTTTAGGTGCACTATTGGCTTAAAGCCAGCTATTGCATTTACAGTTTCATACAAATGTGCAAATTGTGTGAGGTGTTGCACTCTCTGTAAGTGCAGCTGCGTGCTTTCTGGCCCAGCTTCAGGGCCGGCCTTTGGGGTGGGCCGTACAGTCCAGCCCAGGGCTGCCCGCCAAAGGGGGCGCCGTGCACAGGGTTTGGATTCCCACCTGACCTGCCGAGAGCCAGCTGGGCTGATGGAGGCAGCAGGCAGGCAGGCGAGCAGCAGCGGGGAGGGAGAGACCTGAAGTGCAGGGGGGGACCTCGGAACCAAGTGACTCCTCCTGAGCAGGGGTGTCCCTGTTCCATGTGTGTAGCCGCTGCTGTTCCTGTTCCCCACCACCACCCGCACCCTCTGACTGGGAGCCTCCTCCTGTCTGCTGGGGGGTGGGGGGGGCTGATGTCAGGGTGTTCCCCTTCCCCCCCAACCCCCACCCGTGTCCCCACTTTCCACTAAGCTGGGGTGACAGGGGACACAGGGAATCTGTGTGTGCTCCTGCCTCTCTGGGTCCGGAGCTGCTGAACTAGTCTTCAGGCTCCTGACCCTGAGTGCTTTCTTAAAGAGACAGCGCACTCATACACTCACTCAGGCACACACACACTCCCCTCAGCATACACACACCTTCACATATTCCTCCAAACACACACACACCAGGGCTCCCTGCATCCAGGTCACTTTCCCCACCTGGGCAGGGCTGGGCAGAGGCATCAGCAGCTGCTGCTCTCCTGCCCTCCCCTTAGACAGGCCAGGCAGGGAAAGTGACCTGGATGCAGGGAGCCCTGACAATGCTCCTCG